TTTCTAGTTTAAGACAGGTTCATTGATTCTAAAAAATATAAAACACCAGAAAACAATTAAATTAAATAATTAATATGAATGAAAAAAATTTATTATTAAAACATTAATATTAAAAATATAACTATTTTTTATATTTCCTAAAACATTTATATTAAAATATCACTATTTTTTATATTTCCTCAAACATTAATATTAAAAATATCATTATTTTTTATATTTATTATTAAAATATTCATACTAAAAATATCACTATTTTTTATATTTACTAAAACATTAATATTAAAAATATCACTATTTTTTATATTTATTATTAAAATATTCTTATCAAAAATATTACTATTTAGTTATCAAAAGCTGTTATCAGAAAAGAACTTTTTCAGAAATTAAAATTTCTGAAAAACTTAACATCTATATCATGGGAAAACACTGAAAATGGATATTCCCAATAAAATTTGTAGAGCAATTATATCTAATAAATGTTGTTATAATCAGGTCAGGAGTATGGTCTTCATGATCATCCTGCTACTGGTAACATGTTTTTTATATATAGTTGGAGGTGCCTTAGTTACTGTATTAGCTCACCTGTAATCTATGTTATATGTATGTTTGTGTTCTGTCTGAACCTCTTGCGCCAGAGGTTCAGACAGAACACAAACATACATATAACGTAGATTACAGGTGAGCTAATACAGTAACTAAGGCACCTCCAACTATATATAAAAAAAAAAAAAAAAAAAATTTACTATAGGCATGACTGATATTAGATAGTACTGATGACAGGAAGAACACTCCTTCCAGCCTTTGCTTAGAAAGCAAATCCTGCAAGGCAGCAGAACATGGAACAGGTTGCACTGGGTTACATGTTACCAGTAGCAGGATGATCATATTAGCTCACCTGTAATCTACGTTATATGTATGTTTGTGTTCTGTCTGAACCTCTGGCGCGGTGTTCGCTCACCCGTAAGTTACTTTATGTTCTTTAGGTATGTCTGTGTTCTGTCTGAACCTCTGGCGCGGTGTTCGCTCACCCGTAAGTTACTTTATGTTTATGTTTATGTTTTTTATGTTTTTTTATGTATGTTTGTGTTCTGTCTGAACCTCTGGCGCGGTGTTCGCTCACCCGTAAGTTAGTTTATGTTTTTTATGTATGTTTGTGTTCTGTCTGAACCTCTGGCGCGGTGTTGACTCACCCGTAAGTTGATTTATGTTTGTTTGTGTTCTGTTTATACTCTAATGCAGCATGAGCTCAGTAACTAACTACTTACTCCAACTACAAAACCTACACTCACCTTAGACTCCTGTATTTTGTTAGATGCAGTGTTTTCCTAATGCACTTCCAAAATATCATGCCTGGTTTTCTCAAAGTACTGTTGCGGAAAGTAACTCCTTTTAACTACTCCAGGTCAGGTCAGGATAATCGAGACCAATCTTGCTACTGGTATCACATAACCCAGTACCACCTGCCACAAGCCCTGCTGCCTTGCAGAGTGTGCTCTTCATAGGCAAAGGCTAGGAGAAATAAACTCCGACTAAAAATTCCCCATCCTTGGGGCTCTTGGTTGAGTAAAGGCTAGAGATGGTGTCTCGATAAAAATACTCATCTTGGGCAGATGTTAACTGCATCCAGCTAAACATCCCCTGCCTTGGGGCTCTTGGTTAAATAAAGGCTAGAGATGGTGTCTCGATAAAAACACTCATCTTGGGCAGATGTTAACTGCATCCAGCTAAACATCCCCTGCCTTGGGGCTCTTGGTTGAGTAAAGGCTAGAGATAGTGTCTCAATAAAAATACTCATCTTGGGCAGATGTTAACAGCATCCTGCTACTGTCTTGTAGAAGGCCTCCTAGGCAAAGACTTTAGGGGTAAGCAGAAAAATTCTGCTAACCAGCCTCGAACCCCTTCTTTATCTATTAGGCTTACATAGATGTAACCTGTGTTACATTGTTTCCTGCCTAGGATGATGAATGCTGGATCTCCTTGACTCTACTCATAGAATATGGAGATAACAGGAAGAGTTGCATAGTCATTATCATGGAGGCATTTGCTCATGCCTCCATGATAATGACTATGCAACTCTTCCTGTTATCTCCATATGAGGGTACAGCTCTAAAACTCAGTTTAATGGTTCTGAGGCCGGCTGGTAGTAAGGTTTCCCGAACTCTGTGGTAGCTCTCAGAGAGGCTGATTCCATCAACAGCTGCAAAATATCAGAGTATTAACAGTGCCATGTTGCACATGGATGGTGTCCCTGTTAATGCTTTTGGTGTGCATTGTCAAGGCCACATAAGGAGCCCTATGTCACGGCTTAGGGTTAATTAACAGGACTGAGACAACTGCATAGCTCATTGATTAGGAGGCTGTGCTCTATCTATGAATGAGTCAAGTTCTCATTAAACCCAAATCATGACCAAAGTAACCAAAAATTTCAAACCTAAAAAACCATCCCCACCACCTAAATGTTTTAATATATCTTTTACAAATATTCGCGGTCTACGAAGCAACTTTCCATCAGTTGAGTCTTACCTCCTGCAAAATTCACCAGACTTGCTTGCACTCAGTGAAACAAATTTAAATTCTGCAATTCCTTCTTCAGATGTCAGTGTTGATGGGTACTATCCTTTGATTTGTAAAGACTCCAATAGTCACATGCTAGGTTTAGGGGTATACATACGCATTAATTCCCCTATTTGTCGTGAAATCAGGTTCGAATCCTTTGACCATTCTTTTATGTGCTTTTGCCTAGCACCTCTTCACTCTATCACCTTTCTCTTTGTTCTTTATTGTTCTCCTTCTTCCCATGATTGCACTCTTTTAGATGTTATCTCTGATCAAATTGACCATGCCCTCTCTCTTTACCCCTCTGCCAATATTGTTGTTGTTGGTGATTTTAATGCCCATCACACTGATTGGCTTGGCTCTAACACCACTGATCCTGCTGGCACTAAAGCCTTTAACTTCTGCGTTTCTCAATCTCTTACTTTAAGTTACTTCTTTAAGTTACTTCTGCGTTTCTCAATCTCTTACTTTAGTTAACTTTGTGACTCGTTTTCCTGACAACCCTAATCATTTACCTTCACTCCTTGACTTATGTCTTGTCTCTGACTCTAGCTTATGTTCAGTTTCTCCCTTTTCTCCCTTAGGTGGTTCTGACCATGCAATGATCTCTATAAATCTTTCTTCTCGTACTTCTTTTTTGGGCTTACCTTATCATCGCACCACCTACTACTACCCTAAAGCTGACTGGGATTCCTTTCGTGATTTTCTTCGTGATGGTCCTTGGGCTGATGTTTTTTCTCTCTCAGCTGACAAATGCGCCTCCTACATAACCTCCTGGATTCAGGCTGGAATGGAAGCTTTTATTCCTTCTAGTCGGTTTCAAGTCAAGCCTCATTCTACTCCATGGTTTTCTCCTTCTTGTGCGGCTGCTATATCCAATCGTAATCATTTTTCTCATCTTTTTCAAAAGAACAACTCTCTTGAGAACAAACAGCTATTTATTATTGCAAGAAATCGATGTAAAAAGGTGCTTTCTGATGCTAAACTCCTCAGTTCTCAGTTCACTAAATCTCGCATCTTATCACAGAAGTTAGGCTCTAAAGACTTTTGGAAAATCTTCAACAGCATTGTTAACAAGGGTAGATCTAACATTCCATCTCTCATTCATGGGACTGATCTTGTTACCTCTCCCAGGGATAAGGCAGAACTGTTTGCAAAGAACTTTTCTTCTTATTCCACTCTTGAATCTTATGGACATTCTCTTCCTTCCATTCCAGTCAAACAGGTTGACCAATTGTTAGACATTCAAATCACTCCGGCTTCTGTTGCTAAAGTCATATCTCAATTAAACTCGTCTACAGCTTGTGGTCCAGACAACATTCCTGTCACAGTCTTGCAGAATTGTTCTCCAGAACTTTCTTCAATTCTCTCTAAACTATTTAACAAATGTTTGACTGAGTCTTGTTTTCCTGCTTGTTGGAAAATGGCATCTGTGGTTCCATTATTCAAAAACTCTGGAGAAAATTCTGACTCACCCAATTATCGTCCGATCAGTCTTCTTTCTGTTATTAGCAAGGTCTTTGAGTCTTTGATCAACAAATTCCTCACATCTCATCTTGAGTCAAATAAATTACTGTCAGACAATCAATACGGTTTTTGATCCTCTCGCTCTACGGCCGACTTTCTAACTGCTGTAACTGAAAGATTTTATCGTGCATTAGATGGAGGCGGTGAGGCTAGGGCTATTGCTCTCGACATATCTAAAGCTTTCGACAACGTTTGGCATGCTGGTCTTCTCCATAAGCTTGCTTCATATGGTGTTTCTGGGAAAGTTTTTGAGATTATCAAACCATTTCTTTCTAACCGGTTTATTAAAGTCATCCTTGAAGGCCAACACTCTTCTTTATTTCCAGTAACTTCTGGGGTTCCCCAAGGTTCCATCCTGGGCCCTGTTTTGTTTCTTATCTACATAAACGATCTTCCTGACAACCTTTCATCTAAAGTAGCTCTTTTTGCTGATGACTTAACTTTATACTCCTGTCTTGACAAAAAGTCTTCTCTTTTCGATCGCCTAGAACAAGCAGCTGATCTTGAATCCGATCTCACTTCAGTAATAGATTGGGGTTCACAGTGGCTTGTGAATTTCAACTCTAAAAAAACCCAGTTGCTTACTGCAAACAACTACCGTAATATGGTCAACATTCCTATATTAATGAATGGCAATTCTCTTACTGAGTCCTCCTCTTTACGTCTTCTCGGATTATCGCTTACTACTGACCTTTCATGGAAACCATATATACAATCGATTGCTAAATTAGCTTCTGCTAAGGTTGCTTCTCTTTATCGTGCTCGCCATTTCCTTTTTTCTGATTCCATTCTCTACCTCTACAAATCTCTTATTCGTCCCTGTATGGAATACTGTTGTCATATTTGGGCTGGTTCTTCTAACGTTTCACTTTCTCTTCTTGACAAGATCCAAAAACGCATTGTAAATGTTGTTTGGACCTGGACTATCTGCTAAGCTTGAACCTCTTTCCCATTGTCATAAAGTTGCATCTCTTTCTCTTTTCTACAAATACTATCATGGTCACTGCTCAAAGGAGTTATCATCTCTAGTTCCATCAACTAAAATTCATTCTCGTTTTACTTGTCATTCAGCTAAGTCTCATTTGTTTACTGTATCTGTCCCTGCATGCTCTAAAAACTTTTATTCATCTAGTTTTTTTCCCCGCACTTCAATCCTTTGGAACTCTCTCCCATCTTCATGTTTTCCTGACTCATACAACCTTCAACTTTTCAAGTCTTCTGTCAACCGTTTCCTTGCTCTATAACTCTGTTCTTTTTTTTTCCTAGTAACTCCCAACTTAATAGTGGTTGCTTGCAGCCTTGTTGGGAGTGAATGCAAATAAAAAAAAAAAAAAAACATATATATATATATATATATTATGTGTATATATATATATATTATGTGTATATATGTATATATATATATGTATATATATATATATGTATATATATATATATATATATATATATATATATATATATATATATATATATTATATATATATATATATATATATATATATATATATATATATATATATATATATATATATATATATATATATATATATATATATATATATATATATATATATATAATTATTAAGGTGTCAATTTCAAGAGTAGTTCAGATAAGGCAAAAAAGGAATTAGAATTTATACCAACTAATCTACATGTTCATAGTCTCTGTGTCACGGAAGATAATGATAAAGGTGAGATTTTGTAGCATTTTGTTGATTTTATTGATTTTTTTAATAAATAAGTTAAGTAATCACTGAAAAAAAAAATCTTTCTAGAGTTTTTTTACGATTTCATTACTGTTGGTGCTCCTACGGCTCATTATTTAAAATACAAAATGGGTGGTTTAAAAAGAATGATAGAAAACAATGATGAAAATATCCGTAAAGTTCTTGAAGGGTAATTTTTGTGTATAGTTTTTTTATTTAAACTAAGTTTTAAATTAATCAATTTAAACTAAGGAAATTTATTTTATGCTGTTTTTAGATGTGGTCCAAATGAAAAAAGAATGGCAAATTATATAAAAGCTGTCCACTCTATTGGTATTTTTTTATGTTTTAAATTTTGCATGCACATATATTAGGTATTTAGTTACTTTTGCCAGCATACATACATACATTTATATGTTTTGTTGTAAAATTAAATTGAAGGTTTTTGTAAGTTTGTTTATTGTTTGCATTATATTATAATATTATTTTTAATAAATAAATATGGTAATAACTTTCCTATATTGTTAAAAGTTGTGTCATATAAATTTGCTAAATCATCACACATGATCAGTAAAAGGCTGATGGAGGAATGAAATAAATAATGATAAAGGAGATTTAGTTTTCGAACAAAGCAAACTTAGACAGTCATCTAGATAAAAATAAAGGATAATAAAAAAACAACACTTTTTTATATTAAAATAATGACAAATATGTGGATAAAACAAATAAATAATATAGAATAAAACACAAAGTTATTTATAGATACTAGAAAACAAACATATATGTTTAAATGTAGTTTGTGCAGTGTACGTAATAAACTTCTCCTCAGTGAAGTGTACGTAATAAACTTCTCAGAATCACATATACTTTCACCAGTGTTTTGAAGTGACTCAGCACCAATAACTATTTTATCTTTGTCAGATAAACATCATCACCACTTATGTTTAACCATGCAATTTGCACCTTTTGCATACTGCAGTAAATAGGCTTTCACTAAAATTAGCCAAAAACTAACATACCTAAAGTTAGCAATAGTAATAGTAATATATTTGTGCTGTGAACAATAAATCGATGAGTGTACCAAGTGCACTTAGACAGCTGTATCATTATTCAGCATAGTTACATTTATTTAAATTCTATATGTCTAGTTTAGCTTTGAAGAATTCATAGAAATAGCATTAACGACATCAGTAGGTAGTCGATTCCAATAAAATGATGCTCTGTTTGTTAAAAAATAATGCCGAGGCAAAAAACTAGTTATTTTGCGATTATATTTCATTTGATGACCTCTTGCTGATTGATAACTTCTTGGCAAAATTTCATTAAATTTACTTTTTCAATTCCATTGAATAACTTATATATTTGAATCAAGTCACCTGAAATCCGTCTTACAACTAAAGTAGTAAGACCATTTTATCTAATCTTTTCTCATAGCATAGCTGTTTTAGTGGTGATATTATTTTTGTAGCACGATACTGTACTTTTTCTAAGAGATTAATTTCATTTTTAAGAAATAGAGACCACACAGATACAGCAAATTCAATTAACGGTCTTACAAAAGTTGTGTATATAACTTTTAGTAATTAACTAATTAAACTTAAAAATGTATTCCTCAATTTTCAGCAACAGTGGTACTTTAAGGTATATTTTGCATAAAAAAATTTCTATTTAGGTTATATTTACCAAAGTGCATTATCAAGCACTTCTCAAAATTAAACTTTTATAGCCATTTGTTGGACCAGTTGACAGCTTTATCTAGGTCATTTTGTAATAGGTTAACACTTGCTTCACAATCAACCCTTAATAATAATTTTGCATCATCAGCATATATTTTTGAAATATTAACAAAATTCTCAGGCAAATCATTAATATAAATAATAAATAGTAAAGGGACAATAACCGAGCCCTTCGGCACACCACTAAATATATCCTTCCAAGATGAGACAGTTTTTCCCATGACAACTCTTTGTCTTCAATTTTTAGAAATGCTTCAATCCATTTTAACATTGTACCAGAAGTCCTATAACATTTAAGTTTTATCAGTAGTCTTTTATGGGACACAGTTAGTAAATTTTTTTTGAAAAACTGTTATAAAATGGAGAATGATAATGCAATAATTTTTAAATGTTATAAATAAAAAAATATAAACAACTTGCCATACTACTATAGAAAATTGTAAAAAGTAGACAAAGAAATCCATTATAAACCACTAGTGCCAATAAAGCTAACAAAAAACACAACAATAATAATAGTAAATCTATAAAAGACAAAAAAAAAAAAAATAAATAAATAAATACACTTAGTCAAAAATTAAACAATACATCAATAAGCCCTAGCACTGTCATAAAAACAGAATTTGAGTTTATAGCAGGGTTTATTTAAGGCTTTGTAGTGTTTTATAGTATTTCCAATTAAACATTTTTTTCTATTTTTTGGCTTTGGGTTTATTTTTCCTAAAAGTATTAAATAGTGGTATGGTAAGTTATTTTTGTATATAATAGGGGTTGCACCAATGCATTGACCTGCTAATGTATAGATCATTTAGTCAATGCATCGACATCTGCATTAGTCTTGGTAACCATTGACCGATGACGATTGTTTTAAAAAATCTTTTTTTAAATTTTTTTTTTACTCGCACACACATCTATTGTAATATAATTTATAATATTATTTAGATTTTTATATCAATTTTTAGTTTTAAATTTTTTTTAAATATATAAATAATGCACATTATCACATAAACATATATTTTTAAACAACCATTAAAACATTTAGCTATTTCACAACTATTAGCTAACTAAAAACAAATTAATACTAGCATTAACCTAACTATTAAACAATTTCTATCCCGTAACGATCTAAAATATAAATATAAATCGTAATGTCCACTAAGCATATCGAAGCAAAATTAAATTTGTACTACTTGCCTGAAGATTGTGGTAACACATAAAACTCACAGTTGCAATTTAAATTATATGATATTATATTATAAATATAAGCATTTAGGTAATTTCTGGTATTGCGGGTAACAGTAGCATATATAATATATAGCTCTAGTTTATCTTTTGAGCACTCTTTTAACTATATATGATAAGGCATGCTATCGGGAAAATCTGCCCACGTTTTTTTTGTGTGTAGTAGTGTTTGTATTATAGAACATTTTGGCAGAAAAAAATAATTCAAAATATTATTTAGTTTCAAAATGTCAACCGAGCAAACTAAACAAAGATGTTTGATTGTGGACAAACACTTAAAAAATCCAACTTTATCGAATAGAAAGTTGGCGAAATCATTAAAAATATCAAGAAGAACTGTAGATACTGTTCTTAAATGGTTTACAGAACAGAAAACTATTCATAGAAAACAAGGAAGTGGTAAAAAAAAACGCACAGAAAATCCTAGAGCTCTCGAATGGTTGGAGACTTCATTGGAAGAACATCCTGCGATTTGGCATTTTAGTAGTTAAAATGCCAAATCGCAGCGATAAACAAAATTCAAATGCAAAGAGTCGAGCTCGAAAGTTGTATGACAACTTATTAACAAAACATAATGGATGCATTTTGATGGATGACAAAACTTATGTTAAAATGGATTTTAAACAAATTCCTGGGCAGTGCTACTATGCTTCTAAAATAAGAAGAAATGTGAGTGATAAATACAAGTATGTAATAACTGATAAATTTTCGAATTGATGATTTGGCAGGCACTTTGCTCTTGCAGCAAAAAATCGCCAATTCATGTTTGTAATCTTTGTAGTCTTAATTTTTTTAGAAATATATTGATTTAAATACATTTAAGCTTTCTTACATCCATTTTTGATCAAGAAAGGTGGGCAGATTTTTCCGATAGCATGCCTTAATATAAAGATATTTTCTTTATTCATATATACACACTTATGTGTGTGTGTGTGTGTGTATATATATATATATATATATATATATATATTATATATATATATATATATATATATATATATATATATATATATATATATATTAGGGTGTCTCAAAAAACAACATTTTTGAAAATAATCTGTACTCACCCCTAAATGTGTTCTATCTAATACAAAAACACTAAGTTTAAATTTTTTTTTTGATTAAAAAATATTTAAAGGGGTCACTCAAGACCCTAAAATATTTAATGGGTCCCTAATATTTTTGAAAAAATAGTTTTTCAAAAATATGTCAACCTGGTACTCAAATGAACCGAAATTATATAAATATTTCAAAAATAATATTCATTTCAAAATATTTTGAAATTATTTATTAAAATTATCATAAAAAAAACATTAGAAATGCATTTTTTTCATTTTTTCTTAAAAAACGCAATTTTTTATGTAATAAAACCAAAAATAACAATTTTGTTTCAAAATGAATATTATTTTTAAAATTTTTATATAATTTCGCTTCATTTGAGTACCAGGTTGACATATTTTTGAAAAACTTTTTTTTCGAAAATATTAGGGACCCATTAAATATTCAAGGGTCTTGAGGGACCCCTTAAAATATTTTTTATTCAAAAAAATTTTAAACCTAGTGTTTTTGCATTAGATAGAACACATTTAGGGGGTGAGAGCAGATTATTTTCAAAAATGTTGTTTTTTGGGACACCCTAATATATATATATATATATATATATATATATATATATATATATATATATCCTTTTATCGTAGTTGAAAGAGACTTTAATGTAAAAAAGTCTCTTTCGACTACAATTTTGCTACCTAGATAATTACATTTATTTGTCATCGAAACATACATTTTATTATCGTCAAAATGTCAAAGCAATTAAATTAATGCGGAAGTACATTAAATTTTATTGTTTTTAAAAAAAACCAAAATAATAATGACTAGAAAGTTTTTTTTAATTGATGGTGTTTTTGTTGTTGTTTTATTAAAATATATTTTTAAAAAATGCGCAAAGTGTTGCTACATCAATTATCTGATAGCCTGCTGCTACAAGTGAGTGTTGCTACATCAACTATTATATAGCCTGACTCGCAACAAAGTGTTGCTACATCAACTATCTTATAGCCTGACTCGCAACAGAGTGTTGCTACATCGACTATCTTATAGCCTGACTCACAATGGAGTGCTGCTACATCGACTGACAAAGAGCCTGACTTGCAAGGGAGTGCTTCTACATCAACTGATATATATATATATATATATATATATATATATATATATATATATATATATATATATATATATATATATATATATATATATATATATATATATATATATCCTAGTAATTAAACTTAGGAATAAAATTATATATATATATTTTTTTTTAAATTGTAATAGTTGGTAAATTAATAATTTATCTGTTAGTAAAGAAGGAAAAAGTATGAAATTTATTTTATATAGTGCCAATAAGCATCTTCATTGGTCAAAAATAGGCATCAATGCAACCCTAATTGTTAGATATTGCATGCGTATATAAACATATTGAATTTTTATGTTTTTTTATTTTTCTGTTTATTAACTAATACTTGTTTTATATTTTTGTTCATCACTATTTTGCAAATTATTTATGGGTATCATTTTATATCTTGCTTAAGCTTTTTAAATTTTTCTGTGGGTTTTGGTTGCTTTTGATTATTTGTACTAGACTGATCTAGTACAAGTAACACTGATTTCATTATGAGCATTATGACTATAAAAATATTGATTTATACTATATTATAATATATTATAAATAATCTGCATACTATATTATAATATATTATAATATATTATAAATAATCTGCATTATTAATATTTTTATTTATATGTTTATGTTTAATTTTATGTCAAAAATAATATTTTTATTATAAAAAAGAGGGTGCATGGAAAAAGAGAGACAAATTACAATTGCAAGTATATAAAAATAAAATACACACTTCTCTAAACACACCCAATGCATGCTTTGCTTAGGTTATGTTTAGAGAAGATGTTGGGCATTTGAAAATTAAATTTGTGCTTCAGTTTTTGTTTCACAGACAGATTTAGTTTGGTTTTCAGTTGCAAGGTAAATATACAGTTGCACTGTTGTTCATGCTATAAATATAAAAAAAATTTTTTTTTTTCTATAGCAGATATTATCAAAATAATTAATTTAATAAAATTTAATTAACAAAAAACAAACCACAAACTTGTTAAAAATAAAATTTTGATCAACCAGGAAAATTTTTGCTCAGGTTTTCCTGCCATGAAAATTTTAAAATTATTTTATGTTTTATGCTTGTGAAAAATGATCTATATAGAAAAATTTTTAAAATGTTTTGGCTGCTATTACTTGCTTTTTTAACTTTTTTGAAATAATGTTTTTCTGGTTTTAACTATGAAAATAAATAGCAGAATAAAAGAATAATCCAGGAATTTATTGTAAATGAACCTCAGAAGCAACATTAAAAACAAATTTTCAACAAGGTCCACCATCAAAACTATACACTGATCAATCAATAAGGTCTAAGAAATAATTGTCAAAAAAATTACCACTATTTTATGTCTCATGCACTTCTCCTTACTCTTAACAAACAAGATTGATAAAAAGATCTAAAACATTTAATGGAAAATAATATAATATGTAATATATCATGCTCTAAAATGTACTCAATAGAAGGAACTCAAATCTTATACTGTAGAATGAGTAGAACTGACTCCCAAACTATTGATCAAGAAACCTAAGGTCTAATGGTTGGATGTTATACCCTGCCTACAATTAATTGTTAAAGCTAAAAATAATTGCATTCCAGATTCTAAAATTATTACCTCAAGCTACAGTACTTCTGTAAATTTTTAAGGAATATTGGATCACGCTGTTATTAGAGTTTGGAAAATCATAGATAAATCCAAACTACTTTAGCTTTATAAACAAAGTCAGATTTAATGTTTTATAAACAGAGAACTGAAGATGAAGAGGACAGATTACTAGTTCCAGTTAAAGAATCTTTTTTTCTTTTGTGTAAAATTGTGAAAAAAAACACTTTGAAATTGTTTACAGTAGACAACCTGATCCGATTTATATTTGGAACTGGGAATCTACACTCTTCATTTCTGGATTTGTTGTTTTCAATGTCTCTTACATGTTGGACAGATAAGAAGACCAGGATACAATGATTCTGGATTTTTTTTATGCAAACACAGCTGAAAGGAAATAATTGGTTAGATATATAAATAAAGAAGTATAGGAAAAATTGAAAATACACTACGACTTGTTATGTTCCAGGAAACAGAGGCTTCAATACATTCAATAATGGAAACTCAGCATAAAGGGGGCTTAGAAACCATGAAACCTTTGCTGAAGTACTTAAAGTTAATAAAGGTTTTGTTAAAAGATTCTACATTATCCTTTGTGTGTTGCCTTGATAGCATCCAGTTGATCCAAATAAACTTTAAGAATATTACTAAGATAATACATATGTATCATATTTTAAATGGTTTCATTTCTGCTGGAGTTCATAAGGTAATTGTTTAAAACACTTTACAATAAAATTTTCTTGGAATGAAACTTACAAATGAAGATTGCTCTTCTCATCAGACTTCTTTATCCTTCAAACCTTCATCACTTCTATCACTCCTTCAAACCTTCATCACTTCTATCACTCCTTCAAACCTTCATCACTTCTATCACTCCTTCAAACCTTCATCACTTCTAACCTCCTTCAAACCTTCATCACTTCTAACCTCCTTCAAACCTTCATCTATGAGGTGAAGTAAAAAATTAAAAAAAGAGCTTGCTTTTCCAGAAAAATACAATTATGTTGTATTTTAGTTCTTCAAAATACTGTTTAACTCTTTGTGTCTAACTGAATTTATTAATGATATGGATTATAATAGATGGATTATAATAGATTTACTTTATCAAGAGAAATTTGTAAAACCCATATGCTTATACTTTAAAAAAAAGGATATATGAAAACTGTTGTTTTGCGAGTTGTGCTGTTTGTTTTTTTGTTGCAGCTTTTTATGATTTTCAAAATGTTCGAAAAGCTGTAACTAATCTTTGTGATTTTTCAATTAAATAATTTGTGTAGTTGGTTCGAGAGTTTGCAATGGTTATCTATTATTTTCAAAAAAGTTTGTCCAACATAAGTGGAGACCCTTTTATTCTACAGCATATTAGACCAAATTCTTTTTTGTTTCAAGGCGAGATGCCTTTTTTTTGGGTTATAAGTTGAAGTTGAAATTTTTAAAGCCTTTTATTCGCTTCTTTGTATTCTTTTTTGCCAAGTTGAATATTTTTACACCTGAAGAAGTTTTGATTCTTTGAGGTGGGTTGTTTGATTTAGTGTGAATATAGAAGAATTGGTTGTAGTTGTTTTTTTTTAAATAAAAAAACTAAAAATTAAATATATGATGTCAAGGGAATTGGTTTCTATTAAACAACCCAAACCTGAGGAAATTCCATTCGCTCATGACAATAATTTTATGTAATAGTTTTATCTAACACAGTTTAATTTGTATATAAATTTGTATTCAAAGGTACAATCTTAAAAGAGGGTTTAACATCAAGTTAAATATAAAAATATGTAATATAAAAAGTATAATTAGCCTAAGACCCTATGAAATATATCTATAGATATGAATATCTATAGATAAGAAGGCAACTTCATAAATCATACAAAAAAAGTTTTAAATATAAGAAATTATATTAATTGAAATTATAATAATTTTTTTTATATTAAATAATAATAATAAGAAATTATAATAAGTTTTTTTTTGAATTTGTATACCTCAAATATTTAAGATATTTAAATCTTTTCTTCTTTTTTCAAGATAACTTAAAAAAGTTAAAAGATGGCATTACACGTCAAATAAATATTTTAAAGTCCATTGTTGAATCAGATAAAGAAAATCAAGACCAATTCAAAAGTTGTCGTTCTTTACTTTCTGCTAAGGTATTGTATTGTTGTATATAATATGATTCTCTATGCAAAACTTGTTTTTAATTAAAAAACAAACAATTAGAATTAATGTTTTAGATTGGTGAATTACTTGGTTTAAATTCAACTTCGTTTGTGCAAGAGTCTTTTAGTTATCTTTTAAAAGCAAGAACTTATGGACCAGAATTACGTGTCAAATCAATGACAATATCTAATAATATTGACGACCCATCATCAAGTGAAATTAGTAAATTTTCAGATTTGATTTTTTTTATTAAATTTTTATTTAAAAATTAGTTTCATTTTTTTTCAGTAAAATTTTTATTATGTGAAGAACATTAATATACAGGTGTTTTCATATTAATTTTTAGGATTACATTTTTTAATTTGTAGAATGGGAATGGTCTGGCACTGAATTTAAACCAGTAAATAAATTATTAAATGTAAGTTAAAATAATGTTTTATGTTTTGTTATTAGGTGAAGTGCATTTTTGTGAATTCTATTTGTATTTCATTTTTGTGTTTTGTAAATTTATTTTTAGTCTGAAGATCAAGTTCTTGAAATATTAAAAAAATTTCAATCAGCTATTAATTCGGGTATTTTAAAATTAGTAATTTTATATATAAATTTAATATTAAGGTATACATTTTAAATAAATATTTTTACAAATTTAATAAATAAGGGTATTTGCTGTAACTATCTTAACAAAAGTTATACAATGGAAAATGTTTTTTAGACTTTTTTTTTATCCATACAAGAGAAACAAAAAATTATTTTATATCATTCTGAAGTCACAGCATTATATACATTATATTGCTATATAATGATATAATGTTAAATATGCTATTGTATGTATATGAATATATATATATATATATATATATATATATATATATATATATATATATATATATATATATATATATGTATATATATATATATATATATATATATATATATATATATATATATATATATGTATATATATGTATGTATGTATATATGGCGTATATAGTATATATATAGTATATATATATATACTGGTATATATATATATACTGGTATATATATATATACTGGTATATATATATATATATATACTGGTATATATATATATATATATATATATATATATATATATATATATATATATATATATATATATATATATATATATATATATATATATATGCTGGCATATATATTTTATGTATATATATATATATATATATATATATAGGGATATAAGTGTGAATGTATACATATATATATATATATATATATATATATATATATATATATATATATATATATATATATATATATATGCACACATATATGTGTATATATATATATATATATTTATATTTATATGTACGCATATATGCACTAACATATATATTTTATCTTTGCTTTTTTCATCATTATTTTCATTTAGTTATTATTATTATCAGTCTGATTTACACTAAAAGCAGCCATTTTTAAACAAAAAAATAAAAACAAACAATTTCTATTAGTAGCGACATAAAGCATTTACTCCTAGATGGAGGCAATTGCTTATGAGTAAAACCAAACCTTTATTCATGTATTTTTTGAGCAATTGCTTTTGCTATGTGCATTTGCTTTTTAGCATTTACTTTTTTTTATTCACCCACCCTATTTCCAAAAACATTTCAGCTGTTTTTTCCTTTGCTATCTTATTTTCATTTTTATTTCCAACCAATTATTAGGCTCACAGTTTTACATAATGAATAATGTATTACTAATATTATAATAAGAATGAGTTTATTTATTTTTTTATTAATAACTAACAATAAGGTATTTATTATTAATTAACAATATTTATTATTAATTAAAAACTTTTATTATAAAATATTGATAATTATGATTTCATCTAACTTAACTTAATTAAAAAAAATTTAAATTGACCAGAACAGATTTTTATTAGAGAAAATCAACAAGTCAGAAATTTCCATGGGGGCAGTAATCTTTTCTTTCAATATTCTTTGCTTTTTTCTTCTTTTACAGAAAAAGCTGTATGCTATAAAAATAAGTAAAACTAGTAAGCAAATGCTGATCTGTATACTAGGTTTATGACTTTTTATCAAATTTTACCACATGCACCTGTACTGTAGTTTGATGAACTTTTACTTAAAAAGCACGAAATGAACTCTTATTTGCATATCTTTTCAAAAAAGATCACCCCACCTTTGAAAAATCAATTTTGACATAAGTACTGCTATGTATTCAAATGTATTTAGGATGTCATAGTCATGTAATACAATAAATTTTCAATCCAACAACGACTCAGACCATAGACCTTGCTCTTGCTTGTTGCACAGAAGGAGTCGAAGGTGCAATTTGTCTTTATTTTTGCATGATGAATAAGTTTCCTATATTACTTTAATTGCGCACTCTGCGCATTGATAACTCTTTCAAAAATCGCTTCCAGTGATTTTTCAAGGAGTTTAAAGCCTTTTTGTATGGATTCAGTATTTCAGCCAAGTTATTAAAGTCGTTTTCATTGTACAGTTGGTCTGTAAACCAATGGTCTGCCCAGCCATACGATATAAATCAACAGAACTCTCTCAGACTCTCTGCAGAACTATCCTTGTTAAAGGAATTAAAATAATTGATTGCTTGTATAGCTCTGGAGTTCCACCTCGCATTGTTGATGTTAGATATTTTCTGAAACCTGATCAATGGAAAATGTCCTTTTTCCTCAAAAAAAATGGAACACTCGAGTGAGATGAAACAAAAATTTCATATTATCTCTCCTGCCTGATGTTTTGAGAATTACTTTTGTTCTGTTATCAAACTGTGTTTTCAGTTGTTCATACTCCTTCAACAGTTGAGATATAAATGGATATTCGATGTTTGGCGATTGTGTTTTACTTCCAAGTTCTTCATCCATAGTTCTCACCGAACGGAGGATTCTGTGAAATTCATCAAGGACTTTAGAAATTCCTTTAGCAATAGTTAAAGCCTTGCTCTTCTTTCATTTTTAAGGACAACCACTTGATAATTCATTCTGTCGATGTGCTTGCCATCAATGTGTAAGGACCAACTTTCCATATACAACTTTTCAATCATTTCTTCCTTCAGTTTAAATGCCTCTTTGATGGTTGACTTGTAAATAGCTGATTGACATGGAGTTGGGATGTCAATGTCTTCACGAGCCAATTGTTTGCATATTTTAGCAGCTTTGTTTGTTGATACTTTTGTGGAGGTCACCAAGTTGACTGCAATTTTGCTTTTATGATGTTTTCTGCTTGGTGTAGGAGTTGTCTCATCTTCTTCTTCATTGTTTTCATATTCACTGTTGTCAGCCTCAGAGTCAAAATCACTAAAACCAGGATAGTAAGATGATGAGTTGGATGACTCATAAGAAAGTTTTTGTCTTTTAGAGGGATGGATTATTTCTTTACTGGTCGCTTAGCCTGTAGAGTATCGTTTAACTTGATCAGTTACATGAGGATTCAGTTTCTTCTTCCACAATTTGGTGATTTCTTTGGAAATTTCCGGTATTCGCTCCTTTCTTCCTTTAATTTTTGGTCCAAAGAAATGGTAGCGACCGATAATTTGCTTTTGGAGAGGCATTCTGCTTTTTTCTTCCAGTGAATATTCTTCCAAAGGCACCATTCTTCTTTTATGAGAGTCTTCAAATTTTACCATTTTATTGGTCCAAACATCCTTGTTCTTCTAAATGCTACTATCGCTAGGCTTGTACGATGCCATGTGTTGCTTCTGTAATAATTAGATGAGCAAAAATTAGATGAGCATCTATATATAGTCTAAAATGTTTTAGAATACCCAAAATGTTCTAAATTGTTCTAGAATGTTTTAAATGGTTCTAGAGTGTTCTAAATTGTCCAGAATGTTTTAAATTGTTTTAGAATGTTTTAAAGTCTTCTAAAATATTCTGTTATTTTCCAAAATGTTCTAAAGTTCTAAACACTTCTAATCTATACAAGTTTTGAATGATTTGCAGGAAAGCCACATGTGTTAGTAGTAGCAGTAACAAGATTAAATAAATGACAAAACGTAATTTGAATTGCGGGGTGACCTTTTTTACAACCGAGAGGAATTGGACATGTTTCTAATAAAAGTTAATTGATTTATGACACAGGAAATTAGTTTTTTAAGAAAGTCAAAAAGTCATAACCGTACTGTAACGCTAAAATATGAATATAAAATATGAATATAATATATATATATATATATATATATATATATATATATATATATATATATATATATAAAATATGAGTATAATATATATATATATATATATATATATATATATATATATATATATATATATATATATATATATATATATATATATATATATATATATATATATATATATATATATATATATATATATATATATATATATATATATATATATATATATATATATATCAGAGGTGGAAAGTAACAAATTTACTCTTGTTACTGTAATTGAGTAGTTTTTTTTTTTGAATTTTTACTTTTTAAGTATTTTTTTAAATGTGTACTTTTACTTTTGCTTAAGCACATTTTTTTTTAAAAGTATTGTACTTTGCTAGATTTTGAATCATATACGTTAATTAAAATAAATTATTATGTATTAGTAATTAATTTTGTATTAATAAAAAATAATTTAATTTTTTAAATTAATTTTATATCCTAATTACAAAATTATACAAAAAAAAAAAAATGCTGTAACTGATAAAATGAGTGTTAAATAATGACAAATTTTATTATCATATTATTTATATTAAAAAACACTCATTTGAGAATATTACTTAAATATAATAATTGTAAATATATTCAGAAAAAAATAGGCCACGTTGTTTATGTTTTTTATTCCACAGGTCTGTTACCTGAAAATGGCTGTTAAAAACTACTACTTTTACTTAAGTAAACTTAGCGACCGGTAATGTATATTATATATATATATAACTTATACAACCGGTAATATATATATATATATATATATATATATATATATATATATATATATATATATATACATATATATATATATATATATATATATATATATATATATATATATATATATATATATATATATATATATATATATATATATATATATATATATATATATATATATATATATATATATATATATATATATATATATATATATATATGTATAGCTATTTAAGCTATTTAAGCTTCTTAAATTTTATAGCTTCTTTAAAGTTATTCATAATCAGTATGTTTATTTTATAAAGATTTGTAACATTTATAATATATCTATATAGGTATTAGTTCTGAAATAAATACCTTTTGCAAACAACTTGATACAATCAGTTCATATGCCCTCTCACTAATAAACAAAATAAATGTTACAATGAGGTTTATTCAAATGCAGGGCGAAGCACTAAACAGTGGTCTTGTTGAGTTTCGCTATCGAAGAGACATAGTTTTTTCTCAAACAGTATGTTTAATATATTGCTATAAGTTTAATTTACTGTAAATAATTTATATTTTTTAATTTTTAATTTTTTTATTTTTTTATTTTCAATTTTTTTGAAACTTAATTTTTTATTTCTAAATATAGTAATAATTATTATTATTATAATTATCTTTCTCTAAAGGCTAAAACAGTTAATATTACAACAGATGTTGTAATTTTAACTATTTTATTCTTTAATTTGATGACTTTACTATTATATAAGTTTTCAATTTAAAGTTTGCAATTTGAACTTAATTATTTTAATTAATACGACTATTTGTTAAAAGTTGTATAAGGGTAATTCCATATCAAATCACCTAAAATTTAGGAAATTTTGAAGCATGGATCTTATATTTTATACAAACTTTTTTGACTGTTGCATGTTACAAAGGAAAGTTCACACAAAAAGTTTTGTTCCAAAATCTTAAATGGTTCCTTAGATATTTGAATTATAATATTAACCTGGTTTCCCAAAATTACACTGTTTTCATAAAATTTTGAAGAAAAATTTTCCTTAATAAAACAAGAAATAAAATTTGTTTCCAACCCATAAATATGTTCTATTTAATAAAAAAACACTAGGTTTAAAAATAATATGGAAAAGAAATATTCTAAGGAGTTGTCTCATAAATATCTATATAAGACCTGTAATATGTATATATAATATATATGCATATTAAAGGTCTTATATTGATATTTAAGGGTCTTGAGCAACCCCTTAAAATATTTATTTTTCAAAGTATTTTAAACCTGATGTTTTAATATATAATATATATATATATATATATATATATATATATATATATATATATATATATATATATATATATATATATATATATATATATATATATATATATATATATATATATATATAAATATATATATATATATTAGGGGTAGTCATTTTTAGGGAATTTTTGAAATCGAAGTACATACCCAGCTAAAGTTGGAGCAAATATGCTAAAACTTTGTCAAAATTTTTTTTAGGTCAATCGGGTGACTTTTAAGTCCCCCTCAAGACTAAAGTTGTTAAGAAATTGTACTTCAAAAAAGGAAAAATAGGGTGTGTTCAGGGTGTTTGAGGGGGATTTAAATGAAAAAATTATTTCCTTTTTTTTTTTTTTTTGTTATTTGGTATCTATATTTTCATTTTAAAAGGGTATGTCATCATGTTTTTTACATATTCTTGGTTAAAACGATATTTAAGAAATCAAAAAATTAAAAGTTTAATTTACGCAAGTGGTTATGAAATCAGTAAATTATGTATTTTCATACTTAAAGTTCATTCAGATGGACAGACGTAAAAATTCCCGCTTAAATCAACCAAAAAAACAAGCTATTTTGAACTAAACAAGTAATTTACCATTTAATTAAAATCTTTACAAATACTATCAAGACAAAAATTATGCATTAATTGAAATAAGTATTTTAAAATGAATAACAATTTCCTAAGCCTACAATTTCCTTTTCTTTAATTTAGAGAGTGACATCAGGCTTTCTGATAGTTTTTTTTTTGTATTATTACTTTTTCCCACACCAAAAACCTTGAAAGTTGACCTTACTTTGTCGACAGTTAAAAGTCTGTTCTGCTTGTCATCCTCGTTTTCGAATCTTTGTACAAACTTCTGCATCATTCCGATTGCTCGTTCAGAATGATCATTGACAACAATTAACATTTTGGCAAAGTTTTCAAAATTCTTAAACGAGGACTGGGTGTGCCAATATTGGGGTGGAAGTGACAACTAGTCTCTCACTCTCTGATTATCCAACCCTATCATTGAAAAAATTAAATATGAAAACTCATTAACCAAAAGAGAGAGGGTTGGTACCTTCATATTATTTATGATATTAATCTCGTCTATTCGATCTTTGCTTCTATGTTTAAAAAAATCTGGATCTGGCATTTGGAAGGAAAGCAAAGCATCTGCAATGGCTGTTTTTTTATCCATAGAAATATTTTTATCCAAAAGAGCCAAGGGAATAATCGCTGAATCAAGATACCATGTATGCTTATAAAGAGATGCTAACACTGCGTCTACTGCCTCCGCATTGGAGCAAACTTTCTTATACTCTTTCATCTGAAAGATTGCATCAAGATCAGACGCAGGAGATTGAATTGCTTTATGTGCTTGAAGGTACCACCTTGTGTAAAAACATACTATGAACTCGCAGATGAGTTTTAAATCTTCGCGTAGATTATCATTTTCTTGCACAAATGTCAGTTGCTTGCACAAAAGCTGAAGTTTAACGTAGTATAAACTCTTGCCTAAAAACCTAGCATGATGAACAGCTCCAGTTTTCTTTAATTTGAAATGTGCAGAAGGGAATAAATACTGCATGGTTAGCTCAGCCAACTCTCTTCGGTCATTCCTCATATTGCATTTTTTAGTAATATAGGTCTCACAGTAATCTAAAGTTTTCCTTGCAGCTTCCTTCAAAACTGTTCCTTCCATGGTTTTCCAATCAAGAGAGGTCAGGTTATTTTCGTCGTATTTGAAGTTAGGGTTCTCAAACATATGTTTAAACTTTACGAATAAAGGATTTTCAGGCCCTACGCTGTTCTCTTTTATCACTGCTTCACAGAAATGAACCATTCTAAGCTCAATGATATGATGCCTACATGCTAGTAGAAGAAGGTATTTGTCAACCTCTCTTGCAATCCTAGTAAGTGATCCTTTCTTAGAACCAGTATTACTTGAAGTTGTATCAAAGCATACTCCGCATACTTTTGAAATGAGGTCATATTCTTCTAGTATTTTCATGATTCCTATATACACATTTTCACCTGAAGAAGACGGCAAGGCAGGTACTCCAAGAAGATGCGACACCCCCTCAATATTAACGAGCACAGCTAATCTTTCATTCTTTAGTTTTTTTCCCTGATTTATTTCAAACAAAGTCTTTCCGTCAAAATGAATTATACAGGGATAACGGCTTTTTTCCACGGCCTTCTTTATATCTAATTTAGCAATTTCTGCAGTATCCTTGGCAGTTTTTTTCATCTTCCTTAATGCTGTTGAAGCACTGGCTTTGCATTTTGCGATATCAACTCCACAATCTTGAAGAATTGCTCCAGTTACTTTTTGTAAGACATTGGGGGAGATATCATTTGCTGTAGCTATGATAGATACATTTCCATCAAAAATATTCTTAGGGACTTTGGCAGTAATGTTGCAATCATCTGCTCTTCTATGATGCCAAACTTCGGGTTCAAATTCTGAATCAGAATCAGCGCTAGTGTCAGTGAAATTTAAGTCTAATTCTGAGGTAGCATCAATCTTTGGAGATTCGTCTTCTAGCCTTGTCCTCTTCCTCTCCCCTTCAGAAACCTAAAATTTGATTTAACTTATTGTGTATGTGTATTAACAAATAATATATGTTAAATTAGCAAATTTGAATAAAAAACGTCAAATTAACCCAATAAAAACAACACAAAACCTTTTTGCTAAATTTTCTATCTTCTGATCCCAAACTAAAATATCTCGGTCCTTCCTGGTCTTCCAAAAAAGTTAAATCATCGTGCTTATCTTTATCTGAGCGTTTTTTATCCTTCCTAATTTGGTTCTTTAAATCTGTAGAACCAATCCAAAACAGCTTTTTCAAAAATGAAATAAACTCCCCTTGATTAACCTTGTCTCTAGCTGTTCCTCTGCATTTATTTCTACTCAAATCTGAATACTTCTTGTCCATCTTCATAAGGTTCTTGATAATACTTTTATCTGACATTACTTGAAATCCCGCTTTAAGCCATGGTCTTTTAATTAAGCCTAAAATGCATTCACAATCATCTACTTCACATCTCTTGTAACCCTGAATCTTGTAAGGAGGGCATGATAAAATTGCTGACTTCTTAACATTATGAGGAAGTAGTGATCTTCTGTAGACAATGTGTTGAAGAACATCCATTCCAGTAGGGAGTTAAAGACCTTAAGAAAAAAAAAAATCAATATTTTAATTTTTAACAAAAAATTTAAAATTCAAAACAATTTTTTTAAATTAGATATGTACATGTAATAGCTGGTTTAGCCTCATTTATGATAAAAAGTTTGTTTTTGCTTGATCTAAGAAACTTCCTCTTCCCAATATCTTTTACAATTTTTTTTTCCATTTTTGTATTCAATCTAAATATATTTAATGGTCTGTAATTAATTAAAAACTTCAATACAATTTTACTTTATATTGTAATTCAATTATTAACAATCAAGTAAATACGAAAGTTATTTACAAAAATAAAATAATGTAACGCAATTTCACGTACAATTTCTTTATAAAAACTCTTAGTGACTTAAAAATACAGTGCAGGATCTTCAGCACATTTTCTTCTGCATTATTTTATAAGAATTTTTTTAATCGTTGCCGATTTTCATAACCTCTTGCGTAACATAAAATTTTTATTTTTTCCTTTCGTAAATATCGTTTTAACCAAGAATATGTAAAAAACATGATGACATACCCTTTTAAAATGAAAATATAGATATCAAATAACAAAAAAAAAAAAAAAATGGAAATAATTTTTTCATTTAAATCCCCCTCAAACACCCTGAACACACCCTATTTTTCCTTTTTTGAAGTACAACTTTAGTCTTGAGGGGGACTTAAAAGTCACCCGATTGACCTAAAAAAAATTTTGACAAAGTTTTAACATATTTGCTCCAACTTTAGCTGGGTATGTACTTCGATTTCAAAAATTTCCTAAAAATGACTACCCCTAATATATATATATATATATTTATATATATATATATATATATATATATATATATATATATATATATATATATATATATATATATATATATATTTATATATATATATATATATATATATATATATATATATATATATATATATATATATATTTATATATATATATATAATATATAATTGATTTTTTGACAAGATTAAATAACTACATAATTTTTACTACAAAAAGTTTCATGCGTTTTGCAATCATCAGGTAAAAAATGCATTGTTTTTTCATTAAAAAAATATACTCTTAATAAACATTGTGACGTTCAAAAACAATTATAAAACTGTTACTATTTGCCAGCATGGTTTGGTTTTTAATCTTTGGGCCTGTGGTTGTCCAGCAAGACAAGTTTTTGCTTGACAACCACAAGCCCACAAGAAAAGTTTTCATAAAATATATTTTTTTGTTACCCTTTATCTTTTCTTGATTTGCATTTTTGCTATCATAGCATGTAGCAACCAAAAAAAAAAAACCCAGCTTTAAGTTCAGCAAAGATAGAATGTATCAAAATTATAACCTTCTTATCAATAAGAACTTCATAATTTTTTATTGATCTCCATTTGCTGTAAAATATTTTAAAAAAGACAAAAATATGAAAGTATAGATTTATAATGATTTTTTGATGCTTTATTCAATAAATGTATTTTAAATGCTGAAATATGAATCATCAAGTTTAAGGCTCATCATCCCAATAAACACCCATTAAATTAAATTTTTTTTTAAGAAACTTTTTAGTTATAATCTTACATGTCACCAAAAATCTAATTGGAAAAACAACAGTAAAATATAGAACTACAATTTCAAAGATATATCACTTTTTCAATAAGTTATTAAAAAAAACTTGCAAATAGAATTCTGATCAAGTAAATTAAATTTGGTTAATAGAGGAAAAATAAACAATTATATTATATTTAAGAATACAATAGTAGTGTACTTGTAGAGCACTAGCCTCATAAGCAAGAAATTCCGAATTCGGTTCCCACCACCTCCCTGGTAATACCACTCTTAACTTGTTTCTCTGTGCTGCTGCCTTGTTTGTCAAGGTATGTGTTTCGGAGTTATAGAGTTGAGAAAGGATTGTAACCACAAGTAAAGTAGTCTCCTCAACTGAAGTGGCCATCTTGACCTTAAGGATGTGAATTAAAATAAGAAATAAAAAATGTTTCAGTATTAGCAATTATTGCAAAATATTTAATCACATTAATGAAAAATAGTTATTTTAACTACTTAAAAACACATCCTTTTTTTTTATGAAAACTGATCATGATGACATGTATTTTAGAGATGGCGTCTCAATAAAAATGCTCATCATGGTCAGATATTAAATCCCCAATTTAGGATGTTAAATGCTGGATCTTCTTGATTGATTGGACTATTAAATAGTGTACTGAGTACTATCTGTGCTTTGAGTCAAGTTTTTTAACAAATTTAAGTACAAAAAACTATAAAACATAAAAAACAATTGTAAATTCAATCACTAAGTTCTCTAAATCTACCATTCACTAATATTCATGATCTTTGAAATAACTTTTGTTCTGTTGAGTCTTGTCTCTTGCAAAGTTCACCAGAACCACTTGATTTTTGTGAGACTAATTTGAGTTTAGCTGTCTTATCTTGTGATTTTAGTGTTAACGCTTATCTTACTTTGATTCGTAAAGACTACAATAGTCACATAATCCACAGACTATTTTTTTATGTGCTTTCATTTAGCACCACTTCACTCTATCCCTTTTCTCTTTGTTCTATATTGCTCCTTTATCTCAAGACTGCACTCTTTGATGTTATTTCTGATCGAATTGACCAAGCTCTCTCTCTTTATTCTTCAGCCAATATAGTTGTTGTTGGTGACTTTAATGCTTGTCATATTGAATGGTTTGGCTCTAGTGTCAGTGTCTCTGCAGGTGTTTAGGCCCACAATTTTTTCCTTTTTTAATCTCTAACACAAATAGTCAATTTTCCAACTCGTTTTCCAGACGATCTGAATCATTTACCTTTTCTACTTGACTTATGTCATGTTTCTGATCCTAGTCAGCGCTCAGTTTCTTCATTTTCACTCTGTTTCTGACCATGGTTTGATCTCTCTAACTATCTCATTCAACTACCTTGAAGCTAATTGGGACTCTTTCTGTGATTTTCTTTGTGATGGCCCTTGAATAGAAATCTTTCATTTTTCTACAGACAAATGTGATTTTATGTAAATTTTTGGATTCAGGCTGGCATGGAATCCTTTATTCCCTCTCGACCATTCCAAGTCAAGCCTCACTCTTCTCCGTGGTTTTCCTCTCATTGTACTGCTGCAATTTCCAATTGTAACCATTACTTTCATATCTATCAGCAAAATAATTAAAGAGAAAGTGTCTGTTTACTACTGCTAAAAGCCATTGTAAAAAGTTTTTGTCTAATGCCAAAGCCCGCTATTCTCAGGTAATAAAATCTTGTATTTCTTCACAAAAATTAGGCTCTTGTGACTTCTGGAGAATCTTTAACAGTATCTATAATGGGCAAATCTATTATTCCACCTCACTTGTATGGTTAAGATTTTGTCACCTCACCTAAAGACAAAGCTGAATTGTTTTTTTCCAGCTAGATTTTTGGTGACATTTTAGATTATAACTAACTAAAAATATTAAAAATAGTAGTATTTTGAGATATTGGGCCCCAAAGTTGAGTTGTATAAACTAGTTGTTTTAAGTACATTTAAGCATGTTATCTTAATATTTCAGCATTTTGAGTAAATTTATTGAGTCCTGCATCAATAAAGGATTATAAATGTTTGTTTTCATATTTTTACTATTGTTATTCCTTATTTTATTAAGAAAAACGTTTTTTTTTTAATGTCATGAAAACTGGGTCATTTTAGGAAACCAGGCCAATTTTAAAATTGCCATATCTCGTCATTTGCTCAACCTTTTTTAGCTGAAATTTTGCATACAATGTTTTTTTTTTTATAAATATATCATATGTCTAAAAAATGAAAGAAAAAGGAAGACACATGGTTCAATGGACTGGGTGATTTGATGTGGAATTACCCTTTTTGGTTAAGCTTTATTATAAACTATTATCATTTATATAACATATAAATATTTTTAAACACTAAATAAATTTGTTTATTTATAGCTGACTTCGGTAGTTGCAGGTTTTGTGGTGATGTTATCACAACAAATCCATAACTCACAATTTCTTGATCAACTTTTAAGAGTTGGACTTTTAGTTCACTTTGAGAGTCTTCTTACAACTTATGGTATAAAATTTTATCATTTATGTTTTTTTTGTTTTTTTTGTTTTGTTTGTTATTATTCAAAATGTGATAATAAAAGTAAAAAATATACAATTCAAATAAAAATAAAAAAAAAATAAAGGAAAATTTTATTTTTCACAAACTTAAGAAGTCGTCAGCACCAGTACTGGGTCAAGATGACTTTGACTTTGGGACAAGATAACACTGAAAGTAGTTGAACATATTTTATCTTTTAAATGTTACATGGTTTAAAAAATGATAACTGTGTTTTTACATCTTACAAACTATCAAACTAAGAGTAATGCAATGTAACATAATGTTGAAGTGTTTAGTTGTACCACTAAAATTAGTCACAAATAAAAATACTGTCTTCATAATTGGAACATTTTTCATGCCTCCACTTTTGTCGTTTACATTCTTTTGCTTTAGGCAATGGTTTGAAATCAAAAGTACTAACCAACTTCTTTAGTCTATCGGAATTAGCATTTGCTATTTTTTTCCACACTCTTTAAACTCATTAATGACATTTCCAATTGCTTTAAAGTGGTGCTCAAAAGACCACGTCTCCAGCTTTAAAGCTGGAGACGGTGTGATGTGTGGGGCTGCAACACAATTATGATGATGTTTTTCTCTAAGCAATGTAATACAGTCTCCAAAGTTGCTTGAGTTTTGTGATTGTCAATAGAGAAGGAGATTCTTTGCTTGGTTAATGTCTAAATAAAAATGCTTCAAAAATAATTAAAAAGGTTCTATTGTTGCTCCAGCCATTATCCCTACAGTGGCCTAGAATTTCTACTAGGGCTCTTTCTATAAGTTCAAAACACATTTGTGTTTTGGCAAAAATCAGAAAAGATGGCAGGTAAAAGTCAGTAGCGCCAATGCAATAAGCTTTAGTCCTCTCTCTGCTAAAACAGTTTTAGAAACTCTTCTAAATCCTGTAGGACTGTGAATTATGGTTAGTTTATTAGGCACAGTGGACAGTCCTGACTTATAGATTGCATTGTAGATTGAAGAAGCAGGGAATTTATATTTTTCCTGTTGCTCCTTTGAAATGTTAGAAAACTTGTCTACGCTTGGTTTATTGAAACCTATTACTCTGGTAATCAATGTTGCTTCTGGTTTGCGTACACTGAATTTATGTTTCTTTGTAAAATTAGCCAGCTAATCTGATGCGAAATACATTTCTCAGTAAAGTCAAAAATTAGTCTACTACACTGTTTCTTTGTTAATCTAAAAAAACATTTTGTCCATTGCTATTATGATCTTAAATATTCCTGCTGTACAGCATTAAAGACATCTCTGAATCTTCCTCCATGAACCTCCTGAAATAAAAATTAGCATTCTAGTGAAAGAAATTTCAGGACTTAGATTCGAATACAGATTTAATAACTGAATTTACATATTTAAATACAGATTTAATAACATAATTTAAACTAAGAGGTTAAGGGAGTTAATTACATGGTTCAAATTATTATATTTCTTAAAATCTGTTCAAAATTTATCCACATATTATCTTCACAGCAGCTTCTGGATCATAGTCATGGTTAGTTTAATACATTCCGAGACATGGGGCAAGATGATGAACTCTCCATCTTGCCCCCATCATCTTGCCCCAATCTTATCAAGACACAAAATAACTGAAAAAAAAAAAAAGAGTTTAGAAGCAAAAACCAAATTGTCTTGATTTTAAATTTGTATAATTGAATCTCCAAAATCACTAGCTTAAAAATTTTACAACTAAAATTTTTATTAAAACCAAACTGCTGGTTTATTAACCTAGCAAATAGTAAAATGCAAATTAAATACAGTTTTAAAATAATGTATTAAACAGTTTTAAAATATAAAAATTTATAGGAGAAGAAATGGGGATGATTGAAGATATGTATGTTGGAGTGTCTGACCTTAAGGAGGTTAAGTTCAAGGTAATTGAATTCAAAAATGAAAAAAATTTAAGGTAACTTTTTTAAAGTAATTAAAATAAAGTTATAAATGTAATTATATATCTCTAAATAAATTTGAATTTATTATTATAAATATATAAACTTATATATTATTGTTTGATGTGTTTTATATTATTAATTTTTTCTATTATTTGTATAATTTTGAGTAAAAATATGCATTATTTTGTACAACAAATTATTTTTTATATATAAAGAAATATATATATATATATATATATATATATATATATATATATATATATATATATATATATATATATATATATATATATGTATATGTATATATATATATATATATATATATATATATATATATATATATATATATATATATATGTATGTATATATATATATATATATATATATATATATATATATATATATATATATATATATATATATATGTATATATATATATATATATATATATATATATGTATATATATATATATATATATGTATATATATATATATATATATATATATATATATATATATATGTATGTGTGTGTATATATATATGTATATAAATATATATATATATATATATATATATAAATATATATATATATATATATATATATATATATATATATATATATATATATATATATATATATATATATATATATATATATATATATATATATATATATATATATATATATATATATATATATATATATATATATATATATATTAAGGGGTAAACAGATTCTATCTTAAGGGGTAAACAGATTCTATCTGTTGACCAGCCTCGCACCCCTTCCTCATCTATTAGGCTGGCGCAGATGTATTTTTAATACATTGTTTCCAGTTTAGGATGTTGAACGCTGGATCTTCTTGACTCAATGCGTGGGTATTGCTTGTGTCTCTATTTTTATGACTGGGCAACTCATTCTATTATCTCCTAATGAGGGTACAGCTCTAAAACTCAGTTTTATGGTTCTGAGGCCGGCTGGTAGTCAGGTTTCCCGAACTCTGTGGTAGCTCTCAGAGAGGCTGATTCCATCAACAGCCGAAAAATATCAGAGTACTAACAGTGCCATGTTGCGCATGGATGGTGTCCCTGTTTGTACTTTTGGTGTGCATTGCAGAGGCCACATTTGGAGCCCTTTGTTACGGCTTAGGGTTTATTAATAGTAATGAGGCTATTGCTTAGTTGTTAAATAGTGTACTGAGTACTATCTATACTTGAGTCAAGTTCTTTATAAATTTAAAATGACTAAAGTACCTAAAACTAAAAAACAAAAAACCATCGTCATCACCAAGTTCTCTAAACCTATCATTTACTAATATTCGTGGTCTTCGAAGTAACTTTTCTTCTGTTGAGTCTTATCTCTTGCAAAGTTCACCAGACCTACTTGCTCTTTGTGAGACTAATTTGAGTTCGGCTGTCCCATCTTGTGATCTTAGTGTTGATGGTTATCTTCCTTTAATTCGTAAAGACTCCAATAATCACATGCTTGGCCTGGGCATCTACATTCGTAAGAACTCACCCATTTGTCGTGAAACTAGGTTTGAATCTACAGACTATTCATTTATGTGCTTTCGTTTAGCACAACTTCACTCTATCGCCTTTCTCTTTGTTCTATATCGCTCTCCTTCATCCCAAGATTGCACTATTCTTGATGTTATTTCTGATCAAATTGACCAAGCCCTCTCTCTTTATCCATCGGCCAATATCGTCGTTGTTGGTGACTTTAATGCCCATCACACCGATTGGCTTGGCTCTAGTGTCAGTGACTCTGCTGGCGTTAAGGCCTCAACTTTTGCCTTTCTCAATCTCTAACTCAAATAGTCAACTTTCCAACTCGTTTTCCAGACAACCCTAATCATTTACCTTCTCTACTCGACTTATGTCTTGTTTTGGATCCTAGTCAGTGCTCAATTTCTCCACATTCACCCTTAGGTACTTCTGATCACGGTTTGATCTCTCTAAAACTATTATCAAATTCTTCTACTTCATCAGAATCCCCCTATCATCGTACCACATACAACTACCTTAAAGCTGACTGGGACTCTTTCCGTGATTTTCTTCGTGATGGCCCTTGGGTAGAAATCTTTCGTCTTCCTGCTGACAAATGTGCTTCTTACATAACTTTGTGGATTCAGGCTGGCATGGAATCTTTTATTCCCTCTCGACGATTCCAGGTCAAGCCTCACTCTTCTCCTTGGTTTTCCTCACATTGTGCTGCAGCAATTTCTAATCGAAACCGTTACTTCCATATCTATCAGCAAAACAATTCTCCAGAAAACAGACATCTGTTCACTATCGCCAGAAACCATTGTAAAAAGGTTTTGTCTGACGCCAAAACTCGCTATTCCCAGATCATTAAATCTCGTATCTCATCACAAAAATTAGGCTCTCGAGACTTCTGGAGAATCTTTAACAGTATCAATAGTAAGGGCAAATCTGTTATTCCTTCTCTCTTGTATGGTTTAGACTTTGTCACCTCACCTAAAGACAAAGCTGAATTGTTTGCTAAGAACTTTTCATCAATATCATCTCTTGATTCCACTAGTTGCGTTTTACCTGACATAGCCGTCAAACAGGTTGATCCCTTGCTTGACATTCGCATCACTTCAGCTTCTGTATCTAAAGTAATTTCCTGCTTAGACTCTTCAACAGCTTGTGGTCCTGACAACATTCCTGTTGTAGTCTTGCAGAGGTGTTCTCCGGAGCTTTCATCTATACTTTCTAAACTATTTAACAAGTGCTTATCAGAGTCTTGTTTTCCATCATGCTGGAAAGCAGCATCTGTTATCCCTATTTTCAAAAATTCCGGAGAGCGATCTGATTCATCTAACTACAGTCCCATTAGTCTTCTTCCTGTCATAAGCAAGGTTTTTGAATCTTTAATCAACAAACACTTAATCTCTCATCTTGAATCAAATAACTTACTTTCTGATCATCAATATGGATTTCGGTCTTCTCGTTCTACAGCTGATGTGCTAACAGTAATAACCGATAGGTCTTACTGTGCATTAGATAGAGGTGGAGAGGTTAAGGCTATCGCACTCGACATTTCTAAAGCTTTTGATAAAGTTTGGCATGCTGGTCTTCTCCATAAGCTTTCTTCTTATGGTGTAGCTGGTAAAGTCTTTAAGATTATTGAGTCCTTTCTTTCCAATCGTAGTATAATAGTTGTCCTCGATGGACAACACTCTTCTTCACATCCTGTAACTTCAGAGGTTCCTCAAGGTTCAATCCTTGGCCCTATACTCTTTTTAATTTACATTAACGATCTTCCAGATATTCACACATCTAAGGTGGCATTATTCGCTGACGACACTACCATTTACTCTTGTCATGATAAGAAGCCTACACTCTCTGATTGCTTGGAGGGGGTATCTGAGCTTGAAAAGGATCTCACTTCTGCTACAGCCTGGGGCTCACAGTGGCTGGTGAACTTTAATTCTGATAAAACTCAATTTTATTCGGCCAATCGTTATCGTAATAATTTAGATCTTCCTATATTTATGAATGGTAATGTACTAGATGAGTCATCTACCATTCATCTTCTAGGATTAACTCTTACTTCTGATCTTTCTTTTAAACTCTATATCAAATCCATTGCAAAATTAGCATCTGCTAAGGTTGCATCTCTTTATCGAGCTCGACACTTTCTTACTCCAGATTCTATTCTCTATCTCTATAAATCTCAAATCCGTCCCTGTATGGAATACTGTTGCCACATCTGGGGCGGATCTTCTAATGATGCTCTTTCTCTTTTAGACAAGGTGCAAAAACGAATTGTAAGCATAGTTGGACCTGCTCTGGCAGCCAATCTCCAACCTTTGTCTCATCGTCGTAATGTTGCTTCTCTTTCTCTTTTCTACAAATACTATAATGGGCACTGCTCTAAAAAGCTAGCGTCCCTTGTGCCATCTACTAAAATTCATTCTCGTGTTACTCGCCATTCAATTAAGTCTCATCCTTTTTCTGTGACTGTTCCTAAGTGCTTCAAAAACTCTTATTCTTCTAGTTTTTTTCCTCGAACATCAGTTCTTTGGAATTCGCTTCCTTCATCTTGCTTTCCTGATTCATATAATTTGCAATCTTTTAAGTCATCAGTCAATCGTTATCTTGCTCTACAGATTTAGTCTTTTCTCTTCCAGTAACTTCCAACTCTTATAGTGGTTGCTTGCAGCCTTGTTGGATGTGAAGATGTTAAAAAAAAAAAAAAAAAAAAATATCTATATATATATATATATATATATATATATATATATATATATATATATATATATATATATATATATATATATATATATATATATATATATATATGTATATATATATATATATATATATATATATATATATATATATATATATATATATATATATATATACAGTCATGTGCATGAAAAAGCAGTGGGAGAAAATTATTTACAAAATACATTTAATTTTTTTACTGATGGTTAATTTTGTATATTTTATTCTCTAAATATTTTCTGTTAGGGTTTTTAAATATAAAGAGGTTGGCAATATTGCTGTTTATACATACATGTATCAGAATTTAAATTAAATTATAAAATTTTGCTTTATTAACTGTGCGTTATAATAGCAGTGAATATACACTTTATTTTCTATTAGTGCCTTAAAAGTTGTTTTTACCATCAATTTTTTTTATACATTAAGGTAAGTGTTTGTTCATTAAAATTAAACGATATTTTATTAAGTTTCACAATTTTATTACTGTTAAAATGGGTAGAGCAAAACATTGTTCCAATGAGAAGCGTCAAATAATTTTAAATATGTTAAAAGATGGTAAAACTTACAAATTCATCCAAGATGCTTTACAATGTTCTGCAAAAATGATTTCCAATGCCAAAAAATGGACACAAAAAGCGGAATTGCGTGGGGGAAAATTTAAAACATCATTGAAAACGAACCGTTAAATTATTAGATGTGCGAAGATAAATCCTTTTATGAGTTCCACAGCCATAAAAACGGAATTAAATTTACCAATATCGTCCTCGACAGTGAGAAGACGTTTGATAAAAGCCAATTAAAAAGCCAGAAGGCCCAGAAAAACTCCACTTCTAAATAAGAGACAGATTAAAAATTGAATCGCATTTGCTAAAGAGCATCAAGAATGGCCATCATCGAAATGGCGTAATATTCTTTGGAGTGATGAGACTAAAATTGTTTTATTTAATCCAGGTATTCATGAAAAGTTTGTACGAAGACCCCCACAAACAGAATATAATATAAAGTATACCACCAAGACAATAAAACATGGTGGCTGCCAGGTGATGGCATGGGGTTGTTTTTCTTGGTTTGGATTGGGCCCTATTTTTTGGATCAAAGACATCATGGATGCAACTGCTTATGTTAAAATACTGCAAGAAGTCATGTTACCATATGCAAAAGAAGAAATGCCTTTGAAGTGGATCTTTATGCAGGATAATGATCCTAAACACACCTCTCGTAAAGCTAAAAATTGGTTTGTAGAGAATAAGGTTGAGGTAATGAACTGGCCAGCACAATCCCCAGACCTGAACCCGATAGAAAACCTGTGGGGGGATGTTAAAAGAGCAGTATCTTTGTCTAGACCAGCCAATAAAGAGGAACTCTGGAGAGCAGTTGAAGCAGCTTGGAGAGCTATTCCCTTAGAAAGATGTTGTCATCTAATCGAGTCAATGCCACGAAGATGTAAAGCAGTATTGAAAAATAAGGGTCATGGAACTAAGTATTAGATGTATTTTCAAAAGATGAATAAATAGTTTTTCATCAATGTTATATTTTATTTACTTTTTTAATGGTAAATCTGCATTAATTAAATGTGATAAAAGTACCTTTTTTAAAAAAATGGTAGTATGATATTGTCCATTTAAGTTTAAAAGCTTTTTTTAGACTAAATAGTGTCAGATAACACTTAATTATGAAAAATTAACAATTACGGTCCGAAATTATGCATATCATTAAATTTAATAAGGTTTTTTTATAATTTTTTGTGCCACTGCTATTTTCATGCACATGACTGTATATGTTATATATATATATATATATATATATATATATATATATATATATATATATATATATATATATATATATATATATATATATATATATATATATATATATATATATATATATATATATATATGTATATATATATATATATATATATATATATATATATGTATATATATGTATATATATGTATATATATATGCCGACGTCAATTCTATGTTTTAAGTTAAGACCTTTGTATCAATTTTTTTTTTGCCGATCTGATGCCAACCTCTAAATAATTGAGGTTGACAAACAATTGTGGACCTCGTTTTTCCTAATTCCAAGGGTTTTTATCTATGTATTTATGTATGTATGTAAGTGTGTATGTGTGTGTGCTATGTAACTATATATGTTTGGGTGCATTTGAAATAGTAATCAGTTTATTAGATACTAAAATAAGCTGTTTTTTCAACACTCTTTATTACCATTGGTTTTGCGCAACACTATATATTTTGTATTATTTTACTTTTTATTATTTTTCAATTCTTTTGCAAATTATTATATATACTTACATATTTTGATTGTGGTTTTTATGTTGGATTTACTGTTATGCAGTTGTTGTTATGAAATGTTGCACCCTTTATAGTACATAAATGGCTTCAAATTATAAAACTTATGATTTGAATTAATAATTACAAGTAGTTGCAAGTTTTTTGAACTTTTTTGAACTTCAAGTTTTCTTTCTCAAAAATAATTATTTTGATCTTGTCTATATGCATTGTATTATAATTTTATATACAATACTATATTAGGGTGACGACTTCTCTACAATTTTGTTTTTCTGTAGCATACTTAGTTGAGCAAAGATTGTATTAAATCTCACTTTTAAGGTGACCGGATAAAAATGCACAAAATGGAACTCAAGCTCTTGTAACATTTTTATAAAATTGGGGTCATTAAACACAGAAGTCAATTATTAACAAAAAAGTCATTGAACAGAAGAATCTCATATGGTAGTTGTCCTTGTTGCCGCAGAAGCCATACAGATCTTTTAAAACTTTGATTGCACACTCACAAGATTAAAAATTTTACAGTAATTTTGTAAGCAGATAAAACTTTTTAGGTAGTCATTCAAAGCTGCAGATAGTTCAACAAAATTCTCAGCTTGTGAGTGCAAAAATGAATTAAAAATTTTTACCCAGCTTCAACATGAACAGCTTGTTTTAGGTTTTAGGCATCATAAATAAGAAAAGAAGAGATAAAATGGCACAAGAGTTCTAATGTGCTGATGTTTGGAATCTTTTTAGGAAGGGGATCTCATTCTTCTCTGTGTAGTCGTGAGAGAAACAAGTTATATGGTAGAAAAATTTAATGTCATCTTCAACAGCTAATTTCCTTAATATTATTTTCACATTTATAGTAATTGTTCATTTAATCCTGTACAAAGAAATAATTATGTTTGGAGATTTAGTTCATTATAAACAACAAGGCTAAGTGATAAACATGGGTTTAGGGTGATTTTTTTTTATCCAGTAATCACTCTTGTTGTGTTGGCAACAATTATCAAAAGTGATTCCCACAGGTTGAACTCTTCTAACATATTTCTAATCCCTTCTGCGGTTGTTTGAGTTTTCCAATCTTAATATTCTTTCAAGTTTGAATGCAATCAATTTATTTTAGTTTGCTTCTTTTTTTTTTGTGTGTCGGTGCCTGATATTCATAGTTATCAATTTAATATCAAAGTGAATATTCCAATTTTTCAGATAAAGATGCTTACTAAGTCTTTGTCTGAGCAGCTCTTTTGGTGATAGACTTGGGAATCGCTAACTAATATGGAGTTGGTATTTCAATGTACTCACCAGAAAGTTGATGGCACACTCTTTCTATTCCATGGGATGATAGCTTGTAACAAACTGTCTAATAATGTTTGTTGGGTTATGTTTATTTTTTTGCTTGCTGATGGTACATAACATCATCTAAGCTATGTCTTTGATATCATCAAATGAGTTAGTGCTTTGTTCAGAAAAATCAGATGGCCTGGATCCAGTTGCTTTCTCTGCTTTTTTTCGCTTTGATGGGAAGATGCTCTTAAAACTAGGTTTGCCAGTAGAATCTTGCCTTAACTTTCAATTTTCAATTTAATTCATTTAGATTCTCATCCTTATTGCATAATCGTTTGTCTTTCACCTTGTCATGTCAAACATTTTGTGATTGAAATTGGAGTTTTTTTGTCCTTGTTTCCATAGTAACTTGGACTGTTTCCATAGTCTTGTTGATGTTTAAATAACTCTTCTCAAACAATGTTTTACATGCGTTATAAAGAGATTTTTAAAATGCATATTTATTAAATAATTCTAATTTTAAGGCAAAATTACTATTAACACCAATTAAACTAATTCAAACTCGCCTATTCACTTAGAACTCGCCTATTTGCTTAGAACTCCTTAATTCTATCAAATTTCAAACCAAACTGAGAAATAACTCATAGAATCTTCTTGAAAAATTAGGTCTAAAATAAGTTATTAAAAGTTGCCAGTGCATGAACTTTTTTAATATTTTAATGGAATAAACATCAATTTATTAAACAAAAAGTTTATTTATTTAAAAAAAAAAAAAAATTTATTATCTAGGTTTTTATTATAAACTTTAATTTAAAAATAAAGAATTTTATGTTTTTTAGATTGTTTACTCAGATTCCAATTCATATCCGATTGTTAGTGGAAATAGGTAGTATACATGTTGTAGCTAATTAATTATTTTGTTTGTTATGCAGTTTCTTGTATTGTTGCTATGCCATTATTTTTTTTTATTTTTTTTTTCATTTTTTTTAACTATCATATTTTATTTATTAATTGTTTATTTTTACTGTTACTTTCTAAACATATTTTTTTAATCATTATTTATTTTGTTTTTTTGCTGATTTTGGTTTATAAATTTGTTGGCATTTTATGAACAATCAATTTCAACAAGTTTTATGAATAACACAGTTCAATATACCTTTTCTCCATATTGAATGCAGAAAATTTTTTTATGCAACCTAATGAAAAAAAATTTTTTAGCTAAAAATACTGTAAGAAAAAAAGACTTTATGATATAAGAATTTCAAAAAAAATTTTCACACTAGTTTTTTTTTATATATAACTTTAAACTAAGCATTAAATAATTTAATATAGACATGTCAAAATCTGTCAACTGTTCCTAACTTCATAGTTTTTGTTATCACTTTTTAAAATTATTTAGAAATTAACTTTGCTTGAATTTGCTTTTGATTTTCAGCTTAAAAGACTGGTTATAAATAAAATAAAAATTATATTTATGTCATTAAATTCTTAATCTATGCAGATCAGGCATTGTTGTTGAATTTCCATTAAAAAGCAAACACTTCAAACTGCTACCAAGAGACTTGCAAGATGGCTGTACAATTAAATTGTTCCCTGTGATGTTTAGCATTGGAATTAATGAATCTGCGACTTTGGCTGAAAAGTAACTTAATAATACATTTTTAATAAAAATAAAAATTGTTAGTTAAAAAAAAAATTTACTTTTTGTATTTAAAAAAAGGTTTGGCGACACTTCATTGCAAGAAGTTATAAATAGTGAAAGTTGCATCTCATTACAGAATTACTTCCATTCATTTATGGGTTATTATCCAGACTATGGTAAGCAATATTAAGTTATTAAAAAATAATTAATTGAGATTAAGATCAGAAATTTTAGGTAATTATAGTTGAATATCAGTTTTTTTTGTATTCTTAAAAAAAATTATCTGTCATCTATATAATGAAGCAAATAAACACCATGCTAAATCAAGTTTTTATTATAAAAAACATTCAACATTATGTCAACAGATTAGCATTATTTCAATACATAGTAATAATTTTTGTAAACTCAAATCTATATCTATGCCAATAGAAGAATAAAAGATAATGTGTTATAAATAAAACATATAAAATTATAAATATAAATCATAAATAAACAATATAAAATTGTATATTTATATATACATTATCTCTTCAAGACTAAGGAAATAAAATCAAAAAAATTGTATTTTTTGTTAATTAATATCGTGCTTCTTGTTTGAAACAATCATTTAAGTTTGTAAATTATTTAAAAAGTGTTTAGGGTAGCAGGGCCTTCAAGAGAGCCAATGACGACCAGGTCAAATATGGAACAGTTATCAATTTCTGATACAGCACATTGTATTTCTGCATATTAATTCTCTTGATTGAGAAACAGTTTATTAATTAAAACTGACATATGAATCAAAATATTAGTTTAAAATCTAATAAAGTCAAAGTCAATCAAAAAAATCTTTGAGAAAGGTAAATAAAGAGCTTAATTATAAATTTTTTTAAGCTTCTCAAATATTGATAACATTGTCGTTGCTTACCTTTTTAGCCAAATCTTCTTCAATCAAAAAAATCAAAAGATCAGTAATGCGATCCTGGCCCATCTTTAGTTTACTAAATTATAATTCATCCTCTGTAATTAACACAGGAATAGTGTTGAAAATCCAGCAAATGATACAAATGCATGAAAAAAGGTGTTCAAGTTCTTATTGAAGATTTGATTGAGTAGCTGCAGTGGATTGCCTTGTTTCAAAATCGTTTTGTGGGCATTGTTAAAATTGCGAATTTCTTCAATGAGATCCTCTTTGTTCACATCTCTTGGACAAACCATGCAAGTTTGTAATCTTTAATTTGAACGGAAAGATCATCATTATCCAACCAGATGAATGAAAATATATTTCCAACCAACTGCTTGCCTCAAATCTTGAATAAATCTGCTGAATCAGACTATCTAAACTAACATTAAAAATGTTGACTTTGAATTTTTTTGTTTGGCTATTGTGAAAATGAGCTGTGTTTGATGACTCATCATGAAAACACTTTAGTTTATGCTTTTTTTTAGTAGCAAGTTCAGTTTTGAATCTTAGCAGTCCAGCTACAGCTACAGCCTCTTGGAAAATTTTTAACCAAGAGCTTCTAATCTGTTTAAGATCTTCCAGCAGCTGTCCAATCAAACGTAGCTCGCCATTGGTTTGTATCAAATTGTAATTAGCTATACATGTCTTAAAAAGATGATAACTATTTTTAAGGCTCTTCTTGTTTGAGCTGCTCACAGGTCAGATCTAGGTTTCCATGGCATTTTTAAGAGCTGCCAACAACTCCTGGCATATTTGCTTGCTTTAATTATGTTGGTACTCTGTCTTGTCATAGAAAGTCTATGTGGTAAAATTTCTGTCAGTGGATTTTTCATCGGGCAGGACTTACACTAAGAAATATGTACAAAAGTTCAGCTTTTCTAAAGAATACTTTGATCTCAATGGCTGATTTAACTGCTTGCACACCAGCCAAATTCAGACTGAGTTTTACAGGGAACATATAGAGCTTCCAAATAATTTTGACTTTTTAAGACTTGAGCTCCCTTATAAGCAATGCAGGATCAGGTGCTTAGAAGGGAGCTCAAACCTTAAAAATTTTGGATCTATTATGGTATCCCTGACCACAAAATTTAGCCAATCGCATTAGTTATAAGATTTACTATATTGACTTTTTTTCCACACACAAACCTTGTTCTTATATTTTCCAGCAATTAGTTTTTTGTTCATAGAGAAGAAAACAAATAACCAAGGCTATAAATTACTACCACATTGCATTCTCATCTGTTGGACAAAGTTCCTTTTTCTGATTAGTCACTTTTAAGAAGTTTATTTAGCTCAGCATTAGGTGAATTGCTTGAGCCCCTCCCACCCTCCCCCACTGATCCACATTCATTCGAATCACACATATTGAGTGCAGCAGGTGATCTTGAAATAGAAGGATGGACTGACTTGTAGCCAGGTTATTATTGTAGAGATCCTTTATTAAAATAGTGCTATCAACAAAGATTGTAATACCAGAGGTAGTTAGAAGAAAAAAAATTTGATAAACAAAAACAATTAAATTTTGAGGGCTTAATTGAGAGTTCTGAAAGATAACTGAGTGTTTGGATTAGAGGCATTATCTTTGGTCTGTATTATGATAATAATACACTTATCCTATTAAGTCCGTTTATTTTTTGTTTCTTCTGCTACTTTTTTAATTGCTTTTGCACAGTTTTGAGCACCAAAAGGTTTCTTTTGACTCATTTTTAAGAAACGCCTGAAATGTTTTGTAATTTATAACTAGTTTATAAAAAAAAGTCTCTATATCATATTTCGGCGTTTATACAAATTGGAAGTTTTACTCGAAAAATATAATTTTTTTTAAATAATTGGGTAAAAGAACATAAATTAGTTGTATTTTACTTGCGATTTTGGAGTTATAGTGTTTGCAACAGTCACTGCTTCTTTTGTATTTGTTTTCTTCTGTTTAAAAACTATTCTATTGCCTTATTTTATATCGTTGAAGATGCTGTTTAAAATATTTTTATTTCCAACTAATTTGTTATACTCAATACATAAAAATAAGTCTGCAATAGACCGTTACATCTAATCCCAAGGGACATTCTGTTGTAAACAAAATATTAGCTTGTTTGGCACCCGCAAAAATAACAATTTAAAACAAAAATTATAATATTTTGTTACATTTTTTTAGGTGTACCAAAAAGTCCTTATACCTTATCATATATTATACCTTATAATATATCCTTATCACAGAGCATTTATTCCTAACCGATCTCACAAAACTTGCCCAGAGATGGCTTTAAACTACTGATCTTATGCTTCTGAGGAAAGCGCGCTAACAATATCTAAAAAAATATATACAAAATTTTCAAAATCCTTTTTAAATTATCAACCATCTTATTTAACCATAATTTATCCATTATAAAACAAAATAAAAGTCATTTATTAATCAACTTATTTAATCAAATACTTATTTAATCAACATTAACACTTATCCTTATGGTAAGCCATAAGCCTCACTTCAGCAAATTTTACTGGCACATCAAATTGAAGTTTTAACATTTCTGCTAACGATTTAAGCAAAAAAAATATTTTTTTCCTATAAGGTTTAATTTAGAAATTCTGTCTACTTGATGAAACCGGATGTAAAAACTCAAATACTTGATAACTGATAGGGTCATGGTAGAGGCAAGGCTCTGTGCAAAATATTATGCAATGATTCTCTCTTTCACTTCAACAGTCAAATACTACTTAAAAAAGTCAAATACTACTTAAATTCTTGAACAACCGTGTTGCTCACCTATAAAATGGATTAACTAACAAAGTTGTTAGTGCTATCAGTGTTGACTGCTTCAAAGCAATATTTGATCAGTTACATCATCTGTCACGCAGTTGAGCTCAACCTAGCATGGCTAACTGTTCATGGGCTTACAGAATATTCTGGGTTTCGTCTAATTCTACTACAACTAAATCTTTTTTGTAAAAAGTAGTTTATAATTAGCTATAGTAATAGAACTTAAAATTGAAATTTCTATTTCCATGTGCATTTTTATTTAATAAAGTTTCAACCTCAAATACAAAAACTAAGCAGATTTCATATTGTCAACCATTAAAATGCTTTCTATTTATTGTAAAAAAAAAAAAAGCATATTATCTATCCCTTTAAGTTTGTGGAGCTAAGGGGTCAATTTTCCCCCTTAGCCCCACCCTCTTGATGGCCCTGTTGGGTGGCATAAAAACGTTTATTTAAAAAGTTTATAAAACAACAACAAAAAAATTGTAATGTTTTTGACTATATTAACTTTATGAATTTAAAAAAAAATATTTAGTGAAACGCATTCGCTGTTGTTGTTGATTATAAAATTAAGAATACAAATTGTTTTAATACAAATTGTTTTTAAAAATTTACATTCATAATTAAAAAAAAAATACTTTCGAAACAAACAAAAGTTTTATTTAATATTCTATGATTTTTTATTCAATAGCATTTTAAAACTTTTTTTAAAAGCGTTTAGCTTAGTGTAAAAATATGGATTCATCAAAAAGTTTATTAAAACAATCATTTTTGTTGTTTATAAGATTAATTGTACAAATTGTTTTAAAAACATTTACATTCATCATTAAAAATACTCTTTTGAACTATAATATCTTTTGAAAAATTAAATTAAATGTTTTTTTAAAGTATACAATCTTTAAAAGCAATTTCTTGCTTTATTATTTTTTACTTCATTTAGCGGATTTTTGAAAACTTGTTCAAAAATCTAAAAAGCCGTGGTCAAGTTGTTGCAAAAAATAAATAAATGCATGGTCAGAAAGAGTGTGTGATTGCATGCCTTTCCTGTCTACGACTGTTATCTGGTATATTAATCGTTTCAAAAACACAACATAAAAAAATAATAGTAAAATAACTTTAAATATCATTTTCAAATTTTTATAAAATTTCAACTTTTTTTATAATCTTTTCTCTCATTTTGACCAGAACTTTTCGTAAAGTAACTTGCCCACAAATTTGATTTTCATTTGTTACGTCATCAATATACTCATATAGTGCTCTGTATGTAATAATGCTCTTCTTTTGAGGTGTAGGTGATAGTGTTGCACCTTCAATTTTTTTTATAAATTTTAATGTTTTGATTTTAGGAGGTCATTATTTGTACAGTTTAAGAATTTAAAAACTTTATTTGCATGCAAAAAAATGTTTAAATTCTTTAATTTTTCTCTTTGCAGATACAGTAGTATAGTCTTGTGGAAATAATTGGTTCCTATTTATAA